CTATATGGGGCTTTGTTGTGGGGAGTACAGTATTTATGTGTGTTGTGTGTAGTACATATTGTTCAGCCTTGTTGTGGGAGTACAGCTTGGAATGGTGAATTGTTGTGGGGTAAAGGTTGTGGTTGCTGTGGTAGTACAGCCATGGGGCCTTGCTGTGGGTAGTACAGCCATTTGGGGTCTTGTGTGGGGTAGTACAGCCATATGGGGCCTTGTGTGGGGGTAGTACAGCCATATGGGGCCTTATTGTGGGCAGTACAGCCATATGGGGTCTTACTGTATAGGTACAGCATGTGCTTATTGTGGGGAGTACGCCATAATGGGGCCTTATTGTGGGGTAGTACAGCTATATGGGGCCTTATTGGGGTAGTACAGCTATATGGGGCCTTGTTGTGGGTAGTACAGCTATTGTGACCTTGCTGTGGGTAGTACAGCTATTTGGGGTCTTGTTGTGGCAGTACAGCTTATTTGGGGCCTTATTGTGGGGAGTACAGCTAAGTGGGGCCTGCCGTGGAGTACAGCTATATGGGGGGCCTTGTCTGTGGGTGTAGTACAGCTATGGGGCCTTTGTGTGGGTAGTCCAGCTATAAGGGGCCTTATTATGGGTAGTACAGCTATATGGGGCCTTATTTGTGTGGGGTAGTAAAGCTATATGGGGCCTTGTTGTGGGCAGCACAGACCTTGTTGTGGGGTAGTACAGCTATTTGGGGCCTTGTTGGGTGTGGGTAGTACAGCTATTTGGGGCCCATTGTGTAGCACAGCCATATGGGGCCTTATTGTGGGGTAGTACAGCTATATGGGCCTATTGTGGGGCAGTACAGCTATATGGGGCCTTATTGGGTAGTACAGCTATATGGGCCCATTGTGGGAGCACAGCTATATGGGGCCTTATTGTGGGGTAGTACAGCCATATGGGCCCCATGCGTGCAGCACAGCCATACGGGTCCATTGCGGGGCAGCACATACAAATGGGCCTCATAGGGGGAGAATAGCCATCTTGGGCCCTGTAAGGGGCAGCACTGTCATGGGCCCTATTGTAAGCAGCACAGCCATCTGGTGCCTGTTGGGGTAGTACAGCTATATGGGGCCTTGTTTGGGTAGTAGTTCAGCATATGGGGCCTTGTGTGGGCAGCAGGCAGACATGGGGCCCTTGCTGTGGGGCAGTACATACATATGGGGCCTTGTGTGGGGTGCAGCGCTGTTCACATGTAAAGCTGTTGTGCAGCACAGCCAGTCTGGGTCATGTGTGGGCAGTACAGCATATGGGGCCTGTTGTGGGAGTAGCAGCCATATGTGGGTCCTATTGTGGGCAGTCAGCTAAGCATGGGGGCTTGCTGTGGGTAGTACAGCTATTTTGGGGCCTTGTTGGGTAGTACAGCCATGGGCGTGGCTTTGTGGGCAGTCAGTTATGGGGCTCTTATTGGGGGTGGTACAGCTATATGGGGCTTGTTGTGGGTGGTAGTATAGCCATATGGGGCCTTGTTGTGGGTGTAGTGCCAGCTATATGGGGCCTTGTTGTGGGTAGTACAGCTAATGGGGGGGCCTTATTGTGGGGTAGTACAGCTATTTGGGGCATTGTTGTGGGAGTGAGAGCACAAATGTGTAGCTGTTATCTTTTGTACCGGCACAAGTAAGTCTTAAATGGATTGGTTGTTTGTCCGTTGGTTCTCTACGGTTCACTTCTGGCTGTGAAGAAGAGAACGACAAATACAGTACCTATGAACAGGTGGGATATTTTCTCAGCGAGTGTAAAGAGCCGAGGATGTTGACCGAGAAGTGGCTGGGTCGGTGTTTTGTACAGCTTGACATGGATATAACATTTCTGGACAGGGATATGGATAGGGTGGTGTAGCGGGCAGTGATGTGAGATGGTGACGAGGAGACCGTGTAAATGACTTGGCTTAGGGTGTGCAAACAGTCTGACCTGTGTTAAGTCTGTACCATGGTAGTTGACCTCCCTCACACCCTCTCTCCCTCTCTGCTTCTCTCCACATCTTCCACTACAGTTGTACATCTTCCACTACAGCTGTACATCTTCCACCGCCTGGATATAGTGGAGCTTATAAATCTAATTAATGGTTCCTTCCACCTCAGTGGAATTTTTGATGAGTGTCATGGTCACAATACAGGTGGACTTTTGTTCAGTCTGTTTTATCATTCTGGGATGTGTAACTTTGGTCACGTGGAGTGGTGTGGGGTGGGGCGGGGCGGCCGGCATTGTGGGGCGGCGTCGTGGCGGTGGTGGGGGCGGCGTCGGGGGCAGTGGTGGTGGGGCGGTGTTGTGGGTGGTGGGGCGGCGTCGTGCGGTGGTGGGGGCGGCGTCGGGGCAGGTGGGGCGGCGTCGGGCAGTGGTGGGGGCGGCGTCGGGGCAGTGGTGGGGCATCGTGGGCAGTGGTGGTGGGCGGCGTCGTGGGGCAGTGGTGGGGGGGGCGTCGGGGCAGGGGTGGTGGGGGGGCGTCGTAGGGAAGTGGTGGTGGGGGCGGCGTCGTGGGGGGCAGTGGTGTGTGCTGCCCAGGGGCAGTGGTGGTGGGGGTGGCGTCGTGTGAGGGGCAGTGGTGGTGGGGTGGGTGTCGTGAGGGCAGTGGTGGTGGGGGTGTCGTCGTCGTCATCGTCATCTTAGAGTAATTGAACAGTATTAAGGCCCTAGTCCCTTGTGTCTCCGATTTCTAGTCCCCAGCTCTTGCTCCCTAGCGTCCATGCTCCTCTGTGTAGTGCTTAATATCCAACTGACCGAGTCCCCATATTCATTCGTTAGCACCCAGCCCCAGTCCCATTTATCCAGCCTCAGTCCGCATTTATCCAGCCTGTATTTCCAGTCACCGACCTACACCTAAGCATCAAGGATCCAACGCTTCAATCTTTGTGTACATCTCTCTTTTTTTTTTTATCCTAGCAGTGTGTTGCCTCGTATAAATCAAGGTTGGTGCATCCTCACAACACTGTCCTATTACTATGTGGGAAAGGCGGCCACACGCAAATTCAACTCCTGACTCTGAGATTGCGTCACGTCCCAAATTCTTGTGATCAAACGTGGACAAGGTCGGGGAAGAAATGCGTGAGGAGGTGGTTCACTTAGTGCTCGCTGGTTTACTGACTCTGAAAATCACAGTGTAAGGATAGATTTATTTTAGATTAACCGCGGTAACCTAACCTAACTCTAACTCTAATCCTAATCCCAACTCTAATCCTAACCTGACCTGGATTTGACTTGACCTGGACCTTAATCCTAACTCTAACTAACCTCCCCAAATGCCATCAATGTGTGAAGTGGAATAGTAGGTGTCTAATCCTTGTGGTGATCCATAATAAGATTAGATGTAAGTCACATTTGGCTGGTGGTTTGGGTGTCGATTACAACAACGAGTGACTTGTGATATAAAGTGTTGCATTTGGTAATTTGATGTTACTCATGTATATTCAGTAAACACCTGTACGTAAATAGCGGAGAAACGAAACAATTTACGAGTCAAGATAGTTAGTTAGTTACCTGGAGGCTCGGAACTTAACCCTAGGTGGCGAGCGAGGCTCATTATGCCGACTTCGGATTACCGGAGTTCAGCGTTCGAAACAATACAGTCGAATTGATGGAAACGAGGCGCGTGAGAGAGCTTTATGTTATGTGATTGAAACGAGGAAGCTAACTCCTGACATCCGGAGAGATCAAAATAATGTTTACGAAATCCTAGCGGATTGGTTTAAAATGCTTTGAAACGACTCGGAATTAAAATGTGAATGGGGGTAATATTTTGCGGGGCTTTTAAAGAGTTAGTTAACCTTAGAATCTGGATTTGTTTTAAGAGTTTCGAAACACTTCAGAAAAGACGAACCACCCCCGCCCTCCCCACCCCACCTTCCTTCCCCCCTCATTCCTTTCCCTCTTCTTCCCTTTCAGCACCCACTTCCTTCCTTTTCACCCTCTTCCTTCTGGGTCCTTCCTTCCCTTCAACCCTTCCTTCTCCTCAACCTCTTTCCCTCTTTCTCTCTTCTCACTTCTCTCTCCCCTCCCTCCCTCGGGTGTGTGGCCAAATAAAATTCCTGAAAAGTGGTGAAGGAAAGGGTGCTGAAGGAAGTGAGGAGTGAACAATTACCTCATGAACCTCTCCAGATGCCGCTTCTTATAGAGAGCGAGGATTGTGCTTCTCTCTCTCTCTCTCTCTCTCTCTCTCTCTCTCCTGCTAATATTCTTCAGCCTATAACCATTATAAAAGACCCTATAACTTCTCATCCTTGCTGAGACTTTTTCCTACATAAGTATATGAGTTTAATGTATAATCACATATAACAATACCTTATATATTAATGATAAAGTATGCCAATTATGTTAAAAAACTCTCCTCTTAAGTAAGGAGTTAATCGATTTTCATATCGGGTGCATTATACATGGCTGGATTTCAATCTTCCATCTAATTATATGTGTACAGGTAAAATATATGGCTGTGCCCTGAGGTGGCTGGTGGCTGTTTTAGGCCTGGCTTGAGAATTCCTCTTTTTAGTCCGCCCTTGTGTTGCCACACCCCGAACACCGCTTTTCTGCGGCTTTTTGTTCTTTTCCCCGTGCCTGGGTGGTAGAAAATGATGCTCCTTCTCCTCGCTTTGATCTCTCTCTCTCTCTCTCTCTCTCTCTCTCTCTCTCTCTCTCTCCTCGTGTCTTTTGTTATCGTTATATTTGTTATACACACATTTGCTACTGGAAGATGTGACTATGAGATAATTTTGGTTTTGTTAGCTATTGTTGATGGTATGTACACATCATCACGTACAACATCATCACAGACATCATCAATATCATCAGACACACAATAATAATATCAATAATGTGTATACACACACACACACACACACACAAGACACACACACACACACACACACACACACACACAGACACACACACACACACACACGTATACACACACACACACACACACACACGTACACACACGTACACACACACACACATACACACACACACACACACACACACACTATCTATATATTCCTCTCACCGTCTCTACACAGAACTTCAGCAATTCCAAATTGCTTAACCATAAAATCTCGTCGCAGCTGTCACAAGAGATGACAGATTTGTGAGCGTCGAGAATTGGCTGTTGGCACAGCTGTTGGGAAATCTGTGTTTGAGGAGAAATATGTGTTTCTGGGAGAATCTGTTTGTGGAGGAAATCTGCGTCTGAGGGAAAATCTTCGCAGTTGTGGGATGACTTATGTTTTGGGGAAAATTCTGCTGCTGTGTCGAAATCTTTCTTTAACTGCTGGAAAAATCTGTGTCCTGTGGATGCACTCCCAGCTGGAAAAGAGAGAGAGAGAGAGAGAGTATAAGAGAATACTAACACAAACAAGACAAGAAAAGATGATGGGAAAAAATAGGAGACAGACAGACAGACAGCACAGACAGACGGACGTGCCAATTTTCAATATATCACCGTGTGCTGGTGAAGAATGAGACATTAATACACACATTGTACATACACACATATAGCATACACACATGCTGACACACACACACCTCTGCCCTCATAAGACGATAGATCAAGGTAAATTACAGGTGTGGGAAGTCAGCCAGCTTCCGGACACCTGAAGCATATATCACCGCCCCTGTCACCACCTGCCTGGAGAGTGAGGACCACAGCTATTGTTTGTGTGAGGATAATGTTAAATTGTTTGGTGTGAGGATACTGTTAAATTGTTTGTGTGGGAGTGATAATGTTAAATTGTTTGTGTGAGTGATAATGTTAAATTTGTTTGTGTGTGAGGATAATGTTAAAATTGCCTGTGAGGGATAATGCCAAGTCTGTTTGTGAGTGATAATGTTAAAAATCTCATCAGTTTGTGATGGTGGTAGTTCACGCTCTTCTTTTATCATATAATGTTGATTTATTTGGATTTTATGAGAAAATAAAGTTAAAATTAAAAATAATAATAGTTTATATTTTAAACAATAGGAAGTTTGTAATTATGGACAAAACAAAAGTGCTGTGAATTGGTTTTTTATATCATCTGTTAAAAAGGATTATAATATTTTGCTTTTGCCGCTACTAATGTAGAAATAAATTGTTGTTGGTTATAATGTGACATGTGATAATACAGTGTACAGTCGCGATCAAAAGTTTCTTGGACTACTTAATAATATGTGGGTATATGAGGACCACAGCGAGGAGGTGATTTTAATGTGTTTTATATATCTTGTCTGAGTATTTAATGTGTGTGCGTGTGTGTGTGCGTGTGTGTGTGTGTGTGTGTGTGTGTGTGAGTCGTTGCCTCTCTATTAATGTATTCATGTGAGGCAGATGGCCACTCATCAGTCCAGATAACGGGGTCGTTAGGATCACCTGATGGATGCATGGACATGAGGCGGTGGTGGCTGCCTGCGGAGTGTGATGAGCGGAGTGCAGGTGGTGATTGGAGGGATGAAGGGAGGTGGTGGCTGTTTTTGAGGGATGAGGAGGTGTGAGTGCTGCTGTGAGTGCATTTATGAGTGGCGGTAGCTGCTCGTGAGTGATGAGCGAGTGCGGCGGTTGCTTGTGTGAGGTGGATGGAGTGAGGTGGTGGTGGCTTGTGTGAGGTGTGATGAGTGAGGTGGTGTAAAGGGTTGCTTGTGTGAGTGGATGCTGAGGTGTGGAAGTGGGATGAAATCTGGGATTGCTGTAATTAGTCAGGTCAGGTTTAATTTAAATCAAGGTGGGAGATGCTTAGGTAAGTGGCTGGGGTGGGGCTAACTTTCAGGTGACCCCTAACACTTTCTTGGCATACACCCCTGCCCTTGTGTTGACAGTATTCAGGGTGTATTGGTGTCAGCGGTGACGTCACGAGAGGGAGAAAGACGATAGCAGCCAATCACTACCCTGACACACTCTGACGTCATCTCAGCTACAATCTCGGCACTTACCGTGTGTGTGTGTGTGTGTGTGTGTGTGTGTGTGTGTGTGTGTGTGTCATGGAGAACTGGCCCATCTATGCTTCTATCTGGCCACCTGTGGCAGGCAGAGCACCTGCTGTGGGTCTGTGGAGATATACAATATTGAAACCCTGTGACGTAAGTTAAGGCTGGCCTGGCACCTGTTCGTCTGTCTGTCAGTCATTGTCTCTTCGTCTGTGTTCGTGCCCGTCTGTGCCCGTGTTCGTCTGTCTGTTCGTGTTCCGTCTGTTCGTCCGTCCGTCCATCCGGTCCGTCCACCCATCCATCTTTATTTGTCTGTCTGTCATCTACACTTGTTGCTGTCTGCCCACCTGTTGTGTTGTGTCGTTTGTCTGTCCACCCATCCATCTTTTTCTGTCTGTCTGTCATCTAGCACTTGTTCCTGTCTGTCTCTGTTCGTCTCCTGCCTGCTACATGCATTTTTTTCAGTTTTGCTGAGAGTGGAGTTGGGATGACTGGTTGTTGATGACTGGGTGACTGGTTTCTGGTGTTGGATGACTGGCTGCTAGAGTTGGATGACTGGTTGTTGGATGACTGGGTGGGTGACTGTTGCCGGTGTTGGATGACTGGCTGTTGATGACTGGGTGGTTGTTGCTGGTGTTGGATGACTGCGGCTGGTTGCTGGTGCTGGATGACTGCGGCTGGTTGCTGGTGCTGGATGACTGGGTTGACTGGTTTGCTGGTGTTGGAATAATGCGACTGTTGCTGGCTGGTGTTGATGACTGCGTCTGTTGCTGGTGTTGATGACTGGGTGACTGCTTGCTGGTGCTGGGATGACCGGGTTGACTGGTTGCTGTGTTGATGACTGGTTGCTGGTGTTGATGACTGGGTGACTGGTTGCTGGGTTGATGACTGGTTGCTGTGTTGGATGACTGGTTGCTGGTGCTGGATGACTGCTGCTGGTGCTGGATGACCGGTTGCTGGTGGTGTTGGATGACTGGGTGACTGGTTGCTGGTGTTGGATGACTGGCTGCTGGTGTTGGATGAGACTGCGACTGGTTGCTGGTGTTGGGATGACTGCGTGACTGGTTGCTGGTGCTGGATGACTGGGACTGGTTGCTGGTGTTGGATGACTGGTCTGCTGGTGCTGGATGACTGCGACTGCTGGGTGTTGGATGACTGGACTGCTGCTGGTGCTGGATGAGTGGGCTGCTGCTGGTGTTGATGCTGGTGCTGGGTGACTGGGTGGTAGTGATGCCTGCCTGTGTACCAACTGTTGCATACATACATTATGTTAGTCTGCTTCCCCGCTGTGAGAGAGAGAGAGAGAGAGAGAGAGAGAGAGAGAGAGAGAGAACGTACACACCCATACTCCTACTTACCTCCAACACACACACACACACACACACACACACACACACACACACACACACACACAGCCGCCACGCCAACATTTAATTAACTAAACTCTTAAATAATTCCCAGGTATTGTCTTTGATAAGTTTTACAGTGTTGTAATGTATATTGAAGTGAGGTGTTTCATCTCTCTCTCTCTCTCTCTCTCTCTCTCTCTCTCTCTCTCTCTCTCTCTCTCTCTCTCTCTCTTTTCTACCTCTCTCTTCTTTTCCTCACTATTCTCTCTTCCTCCCACCATTATGGCAGTGAGCACCCCTCACCATGATGGCAGGAGCACCCTCACCATGATGGCAGTGAGCACCCCCACCATGATGGCAGTGAGCACCCCCACCATGATGGCAGTGACACCCCCACCATTATGGCAGTGAGCACCCCACCATGAGGCAGTGAGGAGCCCCCACCATGATGGCAGTGAGCACCCCCACCATGATGGCAGTGAGCACCCCCACCATGATGGTAGTGAGTACTTTCACCATGATGGCAGTGAGCACTCTTACCATGATGGCAGGAGCACCCCTACCATGATGGCAGTGAGCACTTCACCATGATGGCAGGAGCATTCACCATGATGGCAGGAGCACCCCTACCCATGATGTAGTGAGCACCTCTCCCGCGATGATGCAGTGAGCACTCCCCACCATGATGGCAGTGAGCACCCCCACCATGATGGCAGTGAGCACCCCCCACCATGATGGCAGTGAGCACCCCCACCATGATAGTGAGCATTCCCCCTGTTATTCATAAACTGCTCCTCCCATTAACGGAATCCTGGCCTCAGCTGTGGACATCAACGACTGGCGTGGTGTGATGGGGGAATTACTGCCCTCTTCTGCCACTCTTAGGCGGCACTCATGACACTGGTTGACTACTGGTCGTCTTCTTGGTTGACTGGTTGACTATTGGTCGTCTTCTTGGTTGACTGGTTGACTATTGGTCGTCTTCTTGGTTGACTGGTTGACTATTGGTCGTCTTCTTGGTTGACTGGTTGACTATTGGTCGTCTTCTTGGTTGACTGGTTGACTATTGGTCGTCTTTGGCTGACTGGTTGACTATTGGTCGTCTTCTTGGTTGACTGGTTGACCATTGGTCGTCTTCTTGATTGACTGGTTGACTATTGGTCGCTCTCGGCACTCCACACAACATAACCCTGTGAGGAGGATCAAGGTCCCGGAAAACGAGTATGATGGCGGTGTATGAGGCGGTGTATGAGGTGGGTGAGGCAGCGGTGTATGAGGCGAGTGAGGCAGCGGTGTATGAGGCGGGTGAGGCAGCGGTGTATGAGGTGGTGAGGAAGCGGTGGTGAGGCGGGTGAGGCAGCGGTGTGTGAGGTGGTGAGGCAGCGGTGGAGAGGTGGTGAGGTAGCGGTGTATGAGGGTGAGCTGAGGCGCGGGTGTATGAGGCGGGTGAGGCAGCGGTGTATGAGGTGGGTGAGGCAGCGGTGTATGAGGTGGGTGAGGCAGCGGTGGCGAGGTGGGTGAGGCAGCGTGTATGAGGTGGGTGGGCGCGAGGTGTGTGAGGCAGGCGAGGTGAGGCAGCGGTGTGCGAGGCGAGGCAGCGGTGGAGAGGCGGTGAGGCAGCGGTGTAGAGGTGGGTGAGGCAGCGGTGGGTGAGGCGGTGAGGCAGCAGGCGAGGCGGGTGAGGCAGCGTGTGTGGTGGAGTGAGGCAGCGGTGTGGGAGGCGGGGAGGCAGCGGTGTATGAGGCGTGAGGCAGCGGTGGCGAGGCGGGTGAGCAGCGGTGGGGAGTGTGGCGGGAGGCAGCGGTGTATGAGGTGGGTGAGGCAGCGTGTATGAGGCGGTGGGAGGCAGCAGTGTGAGGTGGTGAGGCAGCGGTGTATGAGGTGGGGGTGAGGCAGCGGTGTGGAGGCGGGTGAGGCAGCGGGTGTATGAGGTGGGTGAGTCAGCGGTGTATGAGGTGGGTGGGAGGCAGCGGTGTATGAGGCGGTGAGGCAGCAGTGTGGGCGTGAGGGGTGAGGCAGCGGTGTATGAGAACGGGTAAAACCTCGATATTGCTGCAGAACGTAACATGAGGGTCACTGAGGAGACACACATATGGGAAATGTCTTTCAATCTCGCTCACTGTTCACAGCATCTAAGAGCCGTTCACCTATGAAATAAAACTTGTTATTGTGAGAAGACCTGCATCCTGGTCGTAAACAGGTAACGTCAGGTATCTCGAGTTCCTACTGCAACGGCACCTGCAGCGTCCAATCCTGCGGCAGTGGGATACCATTATACTGTTAAGCCAGACCCCAAGTCCTCTCTCCGTGCGCCACATTATCCCGCCCAGGTGAACCTCCCTCGCTCTCCTCCCAGGTGTGAGGTGTTGTTCTCTCTCTAGCAGTGAGTGACAGTGGTTCTCCTAGGTCGCTGAGGAATCCTAGGAAGGTAGTTTAAAAGTCCCTTATTGGATAATTGTGTTGTTTAGGATGAAGTATTATTCAGTGGTGTGGTTAGTGGACATTATCCTCGCGTCCTTCCTGGGGGTGGGGCAGGATGTCAGGGATACACGCGTCTTGCTCAGCTAAAACACTAAATATTAAACTAACTTAGTAGTACACTTGGTGTGTGTGTCACACCCGACCCAGCCTGTCTCAACACACCCGACCCAGCCTGTCTCACACACCTGACCCAGCCTGTCTCACACACCCGACCCAGCCTGTCTCAACCACCTGGCCCAGCCTGTCTCAACCACTGACCCAGCCTGTCTCACACCCCGACCCAGCCTTGTCTCACACACCTGACCCAGCCTGTCTCACACACCGACCCAGCCTGTCTCACACACCAACTTAACCTGTCTTCGTCTTTTTTACTCCCGACATCTCCTTCTCCCTTCCCAGCCACCGTGAAGCATATTCCAGGTTCCACAGGGGAGCGTCGACAAAGTGTGCCACGTAGTCGACTCGTGAAGAAAGTTAGTCAATTTGTTGCGGCCATTCACTCACTGCCTCCCACCCCCGAGACCCTGGAGTGTCACGGCCCTCAACCTGTGAGGAGAAGCCGTCACTCACTGCCTCCCCACCCCTGAGGACCCTGGCGTCACGGCCCCCACCTGGGGTGAGGAGAAGCCGGGTTTATCACGAGTCTTTAAGATGTCTGGTTTTACTGTAGTAACCCAGGAAGACTTCCGGGTAAGGTGAAGGGGGGGTGAGAGGTGGGGTGAGGGTGAGAGGTAAGGTGAGGGGTGTGAGAGGTGAGGGGGGTGAGGTGAGGGGAATGTGAGAGGTGTGAGGGTGAGAGGTGGGTGAGGGGTGAGAGGTAAGGTGAGGGGATGTGAGAGGTAAGGTGAGGGGGTGATGGGGTTTCACAAAGTCTTAAGATGCTGGTCTTGAGGTCTTGAGAATTCAGTGTGATTGTGTAAACTATAAAAGAAATGAAAAAAAATGAAAGAAGGCAGGAGAGACCAGTTACTCTATTTCCCCCACAGTTTCAGAATCTCCCCACAAAAGGTGTTTTCGCTGCCTATAAATATCTGCTAGTTTGAATGTGAATGGAAGAGCCGAGTCGTTTGGGGTGAGACATCGACGCTGCTTCGAGATGTGATTCAAAACTTCAGAGATCGAAACTTTTGGTTGATTATATTTTTTTTTCCTTTTTACTGGGGAATCCATGGGGTCGAGGAGGGAGATTTTGTTTATTTATTTTGTTTTTTGTATGCAAATGATTCGAAGGCGTTTCTTTAATAGTCTGTTTTTCTTTCCTTTCTATTTATCTTCCTTAAAATCTCTCTCTCTCTCTCCTGACGTTAAATGCAAATGTGTACAGAGTTATGTTAATAAACCCAACTTTTGAGAACTCGGGAGATCCGTCAGTTTTATCTTGCCACACACACACACACACACACACACACACACACACACACACACACACACACACACACACACACACAGAGGCAGATAGACAGACACATCGTCTCTCTCTTCTCTCTCTTCTTCTTCAACAAATCACATCATAACCAATTATAAATCTTAAACAAAATAATAATAATAATATTTACCACATGAGCTGCGGTGTGTTGATGAGTAGACTACTCTGTTGACTTCTCTGGCTGCCTTCCTGTGGTGTTGACAAGGCAAATATGCGGAGGAGGAAGAGGAAGGAAGAAGAGAAGGAAGGAAGGAAGGAGGTTGGGAGGGGGGGGGGGGGGGGAGGGTGGGAGGGTGTGTGTGTGTGTGAGTGGTAATTAGGAAGAGCAAGATGGGAGGGAGGAGAGGAGAGTGGGAGGGAGAGGAAGAGGAAGAAGAGGCGAGGGAAAAGAAAAGGAGGAGAGTGAGAAGGAGGAAAAGACCAAGACAGACAGACAGACACATACAGATGGAAGAGAGAGAGAGAGAGAGACCAGCTCTGCTACTGTGGTGGTATAACTTCATGATGGTGTCAACTCAGGTCTTGGGTTGGTTCTCCATTATGGTGTTGGGTTCCGGCCATCACACTACACCATATATAACCCCTCTCCACCCTCCCTTTCTACTCTTTCCCTTTTTTCCACCTCTTCCTCTCCTTCCCCTTCCACTCTTTCTCCCCTTCCCTCTCCTTCCCCTTCCTCTTCCCTTCCCTCTCCCCTTCTTCCCTCTCCCTCTTCCCTCTTCTCCCCTCTTCTTCCTTCTCCTTTCCTCCCTTCCTCTCTTTCTCCTTTCTTTCCCTTTCCCTTTCTTCCCTTTCCTTCTTTCTCCCCTTTCTCCTCTTCCCCTTCTCCTCTCTTCCTCTCCTTCCCCTTCTTCTCCCCTTCCTCTCCTTCCCCTTTCCTCTCTTTTCCTCTCCTTTCCCCTTTCCTCTTCCTCTCTTTCCCCTTCCCCCTTCCCTCTCCTTCTCTCCTTCCTCTTCCTTTCTTTCCCCTTCTTCCCTTCTCCCCTTCCTCTCCTTCCCCTTCCTC